TAGCAGAGGCAGTGTCCGGCAATGCCAGGGCATCTAACAACCATGCATTGTCTCCCTTTGAACTGCACAGCTTTTAGGGTAGCCAGGCTTCCCCCTCACGCTGCTCTTCAAACAACCAAGAGACTGTGGCAGAAATGTCACCGGGGCTCAGATCCCGCCTAGTAGGTGCCCAGATGGCCTGACGTCATTCCAGCTGTGCCCGAGGCAGATCTTTAACCTAAAGAAGGGCTCTCAGCTGGCCCATGACTTCAATGCTGTGTTCTATCAGTGCTTAAAATAAATGAGGCCTGTCAGTGCCAAGAGCCTGATGCAAAGGTGACAAGTGACAAATTAACTGAATATGGCTGAGGAAGTTATTTTCTGTGTTGTTGGGAATCAGTCCATTCCAAACTGATCTCAGCAAGAGCAGGGCAGAAGAACAGCAGTTGTCTTTCGGGTACAGATATTTGTGAAGGTGGCAACTAGGACCAGGCTGGTAGCTGGGAACTGACTTGTTTCTGGCCTAGTAGGCCTGAGAAGGCACTACTTGTACATCAGTTATTTAGACAGTGTAAATCCAGTAGCTTCCCACTTCGGAAGCACAGACATAATCTTTGATCCCCCCGGCAATCAATGTCACCTCATCCCTCCCTAAATGGAGCTCATGGTTCTTCTTTTCCACATTTGGGAAGTGACTTGTTACAGCCCTGGAGGTGCCTCTTTCAAGCTCTAGGGTTCCAGTCGTCCTGACAGCTGTTGTTCACAGTCATAGTTTCACAACAAAAATTAATCAGAATTAAATTAAAAATTAAAAATTAAATTAAATTAAAATTAAATTAAATTAAAAAATTAATCAGAATCCAGTCTCCTCTGTGTCTCAGCTCTATTTCTCCTGTCCTAAGTTAGAAGAAACAAGGGAATCTTTCATCAACTTATCCTCTTTTAAATCCTCACTTAAAACTTCTCCGTGACAGCTACAAGCCATACCAGACTGGCAAAAATTTATTTATTCTAAAATGTTCTGCATTGTTAATTCTTACCACCCCCTCCTTTAATCCCTGCTCTTCTCTCCACTCAAGTATACATGTACACAGATAGACATGCAGGGAGAGGAACGGTCTTCCTTGCTTGGCTTATAGCTTTGGCACAAGAGTGCTGGACCCTTAAACTCCTCAGAAGGGCTAGATCTGTACTCTGTCTAACTCCAAAATGAGATCAGTGTCAACCTCACAGCTGTGGAGAAATGATCCGAATCTTGCCAGGGAATAACTGGTTAATTTTCTGCCTTGCATGAGAGAGTCTTTGGCATGGGTTGCAGTGTAATTACTTGCATTTCAGTGTAATGACTCACTAAGGCCTGGCARGTTTGGAAGTGCAAAGACATCGTCCACAGCAGAGCAGCTTGGGAATCCCACTGCAGCCTCCGTCCTTGGCTCTTTGGAGCCAAGAGAAATTCCAGCTGTGGCCTTACAAGGACAGAATGAAGAAACCTGTTGATGTGTCCTAAGCAAAGCTGCTGCCAGGGACTGCTAGCATGAACTGCTCTGCAGATTCTTGCCTGAGGACTGGGGCAGACCAGAAGAGAGCACTCAGCTATAGCAGCCTACATAAGGATTTCAGACATGTGTTTTATAGAGATGTTCTTATTTAAAGCTGTCAGCTCCGGAATCATATCCATTCCTCCAGAGGGAAACCTGGTTTCTCTGGCAGCTCCCTTATTGGTGGGGGATACTGGCTGCGAAGCATATGTTGCCACTCCATAAGGATTGCTGTCTTTAGTATAAGCTAGGAATTCCGTATCACAGAATGGTTGAGGTTGTGAGGAACCTCTGGAGATCATTTGGTCCAACCTCCCACATCAAGCAGGATCACCTAGAGGTTGCACAGGATCATTCCAGGAAGGTTTTGAATCTCCAGAGATTCCAAACTCCCTGGGCAGCATGCTCCAGGCTTCAGTAAGCACTGTGGTGCTCAGCCTTGGACTAACCCCTGAGGTGAGTCCTACCTTTGCTATAGCTGAGTGACTCACTTCTAGATAGTGTCTCAAACCATCTCGAAATGTGTCCAAAACGAATGACTCTCTGGAAGTGACTCCCTCCTGCCTGGAGAGGGATTAGATGAAATACATAGCTTTCTGATGACTGAGTTGGGAAAACTGAATCTCATCCTTCATTYTTACTGAGAATGAGGCAAAAGCTGCAGGAGAATAGAACCATTTGGCGAAGTAAGAAGCTGATTTCCTCGTGTTTTGCTCACTTTGGAACCAAGCCATGTACACATGCACACATATAAATGCTGGTTTGTRTATATTTATCACATAAATACAAATGTCTTTAAAGTTCCAGAGACAAGCTTGTGTTAATTAGAGATTACAGGATCTGGGTTGCCTTTGCGTGTGCATTAAAATATGTCAGAATGTTTTTTCCGGGGAAGAAACTTGGAYTCCATGGAAACGACTCAACTGTGACCGAATGGGACCAAATGGGAAATGGAAAAGGAAAGAGAGAATCAAAGAGTGAGGGAGGCAGACAGACCCAACCCCCTAGTAAGGCCCTGTCAGAGAGTGTGGGGAAGTACTGTGTTTTCAAGGAAAATCTGCTTCAATTCTCTCCTGTACCACTCCCTCCTGACCTGACCCATCCTTACCTTGGATGCTGTGTACATACAAATGCACTGCTGTTCTGTATTGCTTTTCCTTTTCTTCTCAGTGAATACAGGCAATAATGTTAAAATAAATTCCTGGGCACACTGGAGGTGAGAGTCAGTCTCTCAGCAAGAAAGCCAAAACATGATTGATTTTCCTCTTGCCTTGTTCTCAGAAACAACAAGGGCCAAATAAATCCCTCTGAGAAAAAATACATTTTAACAGAACTGCAAACATCTGAAAAGAAGGTTTTGTAATGGAAAATATAAAGTGATGTTAATTATAATCAGAACTATAATACAATTAATAAGATTCAGGGAGTTGCCTTCCAAACTGTAGCTTCTTAGGCTCCCTTCTGTTTTTCTTCCTTGCTGACGCTGGTGGGGTCTGTACATGCGAAATGCTATGGGCTCGTAGAGTATTTCTCACTCTACCATCGTGCCAAAATTTCTCTCAACAGTGACTGGCATGAAGTGGCTGGCGTGATCACACTCAGACAGAAACTTGGCCGTTTCCACTTTCTTCTTACTTATTTCTGATTTTGAGTGACAACTTCATGGACCACTTTTGTTATCATGGTATAAATCCAAGAATCCTATTCTCCACTGTGTGATKGCTTCTTTGCTTTTCTATGCACACAGGAGAAAAAGTCCAGCCCAGTAGAAAGCGATCTGGAAACTTTCTAAGTTTTGGAAAGATATCAATTTGTGGCCTTGATCTCATTACTCAGGTGGTCTGTGGCACATCTACAAAATTGGATTGTGAATAATAGCATGTCCTTTGGACAGATGATGTCATGTATTATCTGATGCATAGTTACCATACAAAGGCTTTTGTAAGAGATAGAATAGGAGATCATAAAAACTTCCTTTTTTTTTTTTAAATTTTTTTCTGAATAGTTGCTATTTAATTTGTCTTAGCAAGCTCTTTAATGACTCTTAGCCCGGTGATGCAACCTTCATGTTTGGGTAAGCATTCATCATCCTGGAGGTTTGTTTGGTGCACAGTTCTCTTTCTAAAATCTCCTTCACCAGCATCTGCTTTAGTAGTCTTGTCTCTGAAAGATCTGTGAAACCAGTCTTGATGAGATGTGGAGCAGAGTTCCACGTAATCAAAAGGAGGCATGAATCCCRTGATCCCTAGAGTGAAAAGAGTTTATACATAGAACAGAGTGACTGCTTAGTTGTATTGACCTGAATCCAAAATCGTTGAAGCAAGGCGAAACAGGATCTTTGACTTTGCATGGACTTTGGACCTGAACATGTGGGAGGACTAGAGATTCCTTTGTGGGGGGTAATCTGCTTGCAGTTCAATGCAGAAGTTAAAGGGTTCTTGAGTATGTTCATTGACTTATTCCTTCTATAGCATCAATAGCTTCTCTGCTCTCACCTCTGCTTGCAGATACTGCCTCATGCTCCTCTTGTGTTTTGCATTCAAACATGGGGTATGTTTGTGCAGACAGGGGCTGTTTTGAGGCATCTTCTCTCAGATGGTCTTTTTAGCTGAAGTTTGAATCTGTGAAAACACAGCTGCATGGCTGTTAAAGTTGGTCTCAGTAGGGAGAACASGACACATCTGTACTCTTTGTGTTGGCTTGTTCTCTGTGGTCTGTCTTTGCCATCATCCTGAGACTTTGACCTCTCTAGCTATGAACTCTGTTTAATACCAGCTTTCCTCACACTGCTTGCCTATTTTTGCTTAAGATATGAACAGCAGAGCAATAAAATTTGGGCAGATTGCTGGATAAAAAATATGCCCGAGACCAAACYGATTAGCAGGTTGAATCTGCAATCATGCTTCAAAGTTTCTTTTCATATCTTGTTCATTTGAGTACCTTGTATTTGTTAACTGTCTGAACAATTATTTGGAGTCCTTATACACAAATCAGTAAGTCAGTTATGCATAGGACATGTGCATCCTTGATATATTTAGAGCTATTGCAACTTATAAGTGTCCTTTTTAACCATATGCCACTTYCAGCTTACTGCAAGGGTAGAGAGTTTTATAAGACCCCTATGAGGCTTTTGATACTTCTCAGCATTATTGAGCATCTCTCATTACAGGGCAGAATTCTTGAAGGCACAGAGTGTTTTTATTTTAAATATCATTCATGACTTYTAAGTTCTCCTAGATCCAGACATGTCTCTCCCAGTTTTGCAGTTTCCTATTGGCAAAGGTAGTTCTTATATATTTGCACAGTACCTGGCATAGAAGTGATCAGGCCTTGAGACAGGAGTGGATGTCCCATCTGTCTTCATTAGCCAAGCTGTCAGCACAGAAACATCTTTACAACCAATAAACATCTTAAGAATTTAATTCTTGCCTACTCAAGTGGTGACAGTTGCACCTACTGGTCTCTTTTCTCTTCTATTTTTAGACCAAAGAAGCTCTCTTCACAATTCTACAGGACCTAAGGCCGGAAGATCACTTCAATATCATTGGCTTTTCCAACCGAATAAAGGTCTGGCAACAGGACCAGCTAGTACCAGTTACTCCAAATAATATCAGAGATGCCAAAAAGTACATTCATAACATGTCACCTACTGGAGGTAGGATCCAGGAATATGAATGAGATTAATATTTTTATTCAATTACCTATACCTAAYGTGTAGCCATGTAACATGGTCTAGTAGCTTGCAGCAATAGAAAATCATTGGGACTTGGCTCATGGGAGAAGGGATCCTTCCTTATTTCTATGCAGGGTTATGTGCAGAAGGATATATGCCCTGCATTAAGCTTTTATGGCTTTACTAAGCTTTCTAACTAGCACTGTGGAGCAACCAGAACATGATTTAAGAATTTTTCGTCCCTTTTGCTTGTGCCTTATTGATGGGAGTGGGGAGAGGAGCAGAGAGACCACAGTACAGTGGCAGAAATCAGGCATGATTTTGAATGCAATTCAGTGGTGATTTGTAAGACTGTATGCAGTAGTGTAAAAAATATAGCAAGGTTTATAATCAAGCACATTGGGGCAGCTACACTCACTCTGAATACTCACCAGGTAAGCAAAGAGGGCTGCAAAATGACCTATGCCAATCCTTCTCCATGCAAATGATGACATCTGGCTAAAAGCTGGACAGGGCTTCCTACAGCTTTCTCTGAGCTTTTCCCTACAGCTTCCCCTGAGCAGACACCACTTCCAGCAGAGGAAACACTCCGATGGAAAAACACAGCAAACAGGATGGTTTGCTGTACTGTTTGTATTGCAAGGGGAATAGTTTAGGAAGTGGTCAGGGGACCTGCCCAGCTAAACAATTACCGAAGGTAGGACTAATGTAGAGGTACAAACTGTTTTTTTATGGCAGAAGTGCCAAAAGAGAATCATGCAGGAACCAGCTGAGTTTGCCTGTAAGAAAGCTGACAAAGGAAAAAAAAAAAAAAAAAAAAAAAGGAAATGATTAACTTTCAGGTTCATCAGGGAGATGGAGTGATGGAGTGATTCTCCAGTGCAGATTAGGAGTAGTTTAATTGTGGCTAAATCTGTATTTTCCTTATAAAAGAGATGTTGCTTGATTATCTTCCCATGGATGTGAATGGGCATTGGCTCACAGATCACACTCACAAGCACGCGCTGTCCTTACCTGCTATTCTAAACACACACTGAGAAAGAGGGAACAAAATACTGTTGTAAAATATTAGTACATGTGGAAAAGGCAGTCTTCAGTGCTTGCTATCTCTGTGATGTGTCTGGATTTGCAAGGAGACTAGTTGATACATAGAATGGTTCTCTTCAGGTTCTGGGAAAATAGTTCTTTCTGAAATTTGGATCTGAATAGGGGCTGTGAGTGCGTTAGGATATTTAGGTCCATGATTTTGGTTTTGGCACTCAGGCCCTGGATTTTAGGGACTTTTCAGAAGTTTTTAGGATCTTTGCTGTTCTTTGTCTTGCTGCAGTCACAGTGGCTGTGCTTACTAACATTGTAGGTATAAACCCTGACGCACAATTGGACCTGGTGGCACATCCTTATGAATAATTTCCCTCTATCTCCCTTTCCGGACACCCAAGAAGCCAGTATGTTTGATTCTTAAATAATTTCACTCCGTTTTCTCTGATGGTGGTGTTTAACACAGATATATTGATCTTGCAAAGGTTCCACAACCAATCACTCTGTACTTGGACYAGCACAAGGAAACACATAGAACAGTAAGATACCTGTACTCTTTTTTTCTGCTCTCTTTTCTGAATAMACAGCAAGCTCAAATCCTCCTCTCATATTTGTGGTTATTCTAAAGTCCGTGCATTTGTTCATTCATTTTTTCTTTTCTTCATTTCTCCCCATCTCAGGCAGCTCAATTCTTTGTTAGTCAAGTATGAAAACTCTTCTTGGCCAACAAAGCTATTTCTCTTCAATGCTTAAATTCTGTTAGCCCTTGCAGTTTGAAGAGCAAACCCAACCACTTGTTCTCCCATTTGAAGAGATTTTCTCTCTCCAGAACCTGTATCTTCCAGACAAAATGGGAAATTTCATATTTAAGCCTAACTGGTTTTTAAGTTCAGGCAGAACATAGTAAGTGCCATAGCTCTGCTCACCATGGCTAACTATTGAACATCAAGATATTCAAGGATACAACAACTTCACATAGTTAATTGCAATTCATAATTCAATTTATATGAATATAAACATCTTTCCCAAGCTCATATGGTGTAACAGAGCTGAACTGAAGGGCTAGGGCAACCTCATCCAAAGAAAAGAGACATCCTGGTGAACAGAGGTGCTGCCATGTGAGTGCAAGTAGGGTAGGACAACTATTTGCATCACCMTCAGAAAGGGAAATGAGCTAATCATTTTGTTACCTCCACAGGAACTAATATTAATGGTGCTCTCCAGACTGGTGCAAAGCTGCTAAATGACTACATTGCTCAGAATGACATTGATGCCAGGAGCGTCTCTCTGATCATCTTCCTCACGGATGGGAGGCCCACTGTTGGGGAGACGCAATCATCCAAAATCCTCAGCAACACCAAGGAAGCCATCCGTGACAAATTCTGCCTCTTCACCATCGGCATTGGCAATGATGTGGACTACAAGCTGCTGGAGAGGATGGCACTGGAGAACTGTGGTATGACAAGGCGTTTCCAGGAGGATGAGGATGCGGCTGGTCAACTSAAAGGGTTTGTTTTGCTTTGTCTGTGCTTTTATCTGGATCAGGTCCTCTGGGAATGGGTTTTGGGGAGGAAAATCCTCCAAGGAGACATGGAGAGGGATGGGAGTTTCTCTGAGGTTCAACTCTGGCTGAAAAAGACAAGATATACCCAAGAACTGGAATATCTATTTTCAGGATATATATTTTCAGGAATTACACCTACCCAAAAATCTCCTTCTTTCTAGCAGGCACTCTGAGCTGTTTGAGAGCTTGTCAGACCCTCAAAATGAGGTTTTCGTTCACTTTAATCACTGCATGTAAAYGTGGAAATATGGGAGATATGAGTGCTGTCCCTCTTCAAGTGGATGGAGGAAAGAATCAGTTCACTTTAAACTGACAACTTAAGCAGCATGAAGGAGCTTAGGAATGAACACAAATGTTTGGGGAAGGAAATGAATCCTTGTTTTTTTGAGAAAAAGTTAATTACATGCCCCAAATCTTCGAGTTTGAAAATTACATCAAGATCATTCTTGGGATGACAATGTATTTTCTCCATTGCATKACTCTTTTTGATGACCCAGACTTACAGAATGGGTAATGTAGCAGAGATCCCTCATTTTGCCTGGCTATTTGGTTATTGCTTAATTTATTTGGAGAAYTGAGACCACTTCCACTGGAGCTATTGTTTCTAAGTTGGTTACACTGCAACAAGAATTTCTTCCAAATTAATATGGAAAAGGACAATGATTTATTGTTTTATGGCTTGCCAATTCAAATCATTGTTTGGTGTGAAAATTTGCACAAGCACCAATGTCATTCATGATTCTTGTGGTGTTTTTTTTTTAACCCAGATATTTCATGGCATTGCACTATAAGGCTGGTTGTATATGTTAATATACTAGTTGTTCCACTCCAATATCTGTTTCACAGAATGTTCTCAGATTTATTGATGGCTTGAAATGTGTTGAGATTTCTGCATTGAAGATGCTGAGTGTTCAGAGCCTTTAAAAGACAGACAACYGATTTCATTTGCAAGACGATGAAATAGAAAGTGAAGCTCTCCAGCTTTCAGACAATCTGTATGAGCAGATGTGAAAAGTAAATGCAGCTTGAACTTAAAAAAGAAGCTGGTTCTTTGTTTCTTTACCAAACAAGACCCACATGACTTGACAAGTGAGAATACTACTATTTAAATGGGAAATGTGGCATTCTTGCAGCTGCTTGGGAAGATCAGTCAAAAATACACTGTTTCAGGGAAAACACAAGACTGCTTAGGCCTTGACCCTTTGTAGAAGCTTTCCTGCTTGTCCAGTATGAGGCATTTTTAAAAGGTCATGCTAACAAATATTATAGGATTAAGCTTTYTGATTCAACAGAAGCCATTGCTTTAGAGAATCGTAACAGAGAATTATAAATATGATAGGAATGAGTTCTGCCAATTTTCCTGTATTTAGTGGCTAGGATTCTCTAGCCCTTGGAAATGTCTTCATTCATGGATATATAGAGATACCTTTTTGATTTTCTTTCTCCTTTCTCCCTGTCAAAACAATATTCCTCTCCATCTYACACCAGATCATCCTCAACTGCAGTGGCTATGGCTTTTTCCAGTAATATAAAAGTTTTGGTTCAGATAATCTCGAGCTTTGTGATGCCCAGCATCTTAGTCTCGCATTTCTGACTCTAGCCATTAGAATATTATGCATAATGCTATTAGAAAACCTTACAGCATCTCTTCTAATTACATTTTGAAATAACTATATTCCTGTCTGTGAACATGAGGAGCAAAAAAATATACTTTTAATGAACAGACTCTCCTAAGCAAGCCGAAGTGGCCACAGATATCTCCCTGGAAAACTCTGGAATCATAGTGCCAATCAGGTGACTGCCAGAGTAAGCTGAAATGTTTATGAATATACTGTTTAGATGCCCAAGGAACACTGAAAATTGAAATGTGTCATAGAATAATTCTGGTCAGAAGGGACCTCTGGAGATCATGCAGTTCAGTCTCTTGCTCAAAAAAGAGCTAACTTCTAATTTAGCTAAGGTAAGGTAAGTTCTCTTTTCCAGACCACGTCAAGTTTTGAAAATCTCCCAAGGTTGGAGATTCCCCAATCTCTCAGGACCCAATTGCAGTGGATACAGTAGTTAAATTCAAAACCTAATAGCCCTAACTGCTGCTGAGTATCTAGGATTCACATTAGACTGCTGTATTCTTGGCTATTCATAAATGCAAGTGTGTGCATCCATCTGGACTAACAGTCAGAAATGTGTTTGTTTTAGGTTCTACGATGAGATAGGGACACCTCTTCTCTCTGATATACGGATTGATTACCCAGAAGACAGTGTTGAGCAGGTCACGCAGAACTTCTTCCCCAACTACTTCAAYGGCTCTGAAATTATAATAGCTGGCAAGCTCATCAACCGCAGCTCAGACAGTCTCCATGTAGAGGTGACTGCTAGCAACTCCAAGAAGTACATCCTCCTCAAAACAGATGTAGGTATCGACCTGCCAAGCAGGAATGACATCAGAGGTGTCCCTGGACTAGAAGATGGCAAAGGTGATCAGAATTACATTGAGAGGGCATGGAGTTACCTCACCATCAAGGAGCTGCTTAACTCCTGGCTGAAGAGTGATGACAGTCAGGAGAAGGACTATTTGATGGACAAAGCAAAGTCTATGGCCCTTACTTACAATTTTGTTACTCCTTTCACCTTTCTGAAGATGAAAGAGGCTGGGCTGTATTCAGAACCTCCTCAAGAGCAGTATATCAGCCCTTCTACTGAAGGCATTGGTGAAAAGCTACAGAGCTTGCAAGGACATAAGGCACCACCAGGTATGAGGAAAATTGAAACAGTGTGATGGTAAGAATCTTTGCATATACCTGCTCTCCCATGGCTGACTTTGGTGATGAGGATAATGGAACCAAGGGTTGGGAAACAGGAAACTGGGATATTCATTCTGATTTTGGGCCGTTGACCTTGAGCAAGGCCTTTCAGACATCATGTTTTATAGGTACCAAACATATTCTGTGGAAGCACATAGTGCCCTTTAGTTGAAGTTGGAGGAACTTTCTTGCTCTAAATCAAGCCTAAAGTGGCTGCAGGAAAATATTCTGTAATGTCTTTGAATAATATTTTGGGATTATTATTATTCTATGGCTCATTGTGCTGCTTAGTATTTGTAACAGCTTTTCTCCCCACTTCTAGGTATGCCCAGGCAACAAGATAAACAAAGAATTAAAATCTCCAAAACTTCAGGTCAGTGCCTTTTATAATCCAAGATCATAACAGTTGRTTTATGGAAATTTATGAAAACTATAGAGCCCCATTTATGGAACTGCATGTTGCTGTGGTTTAAACATCCCAAAAAAACAACTCAAATGTATTTACTAGACTGTAGAGCAGGGAGAAAAATGAAAATAAAAACAAAATACATAGATAATCAGGAATGCGAAATAGTGTGAGAAAACACATAAAGGTGGATTAGCCACAACATTAGATCCTCCTCTTTGACCCTTATGTAGGTCAGAGGACAGCAGGAATGCTTGCTTTCAGTGCTAGGCCTGGGCAAATATTATTGTTGAAATATAAAAATTTTGCTGAAGAAAAAAAAAAAGAAAAGAGAAAAAAAAAGACATTTCTGTAATCCTTCATTCTAGTTTTCTAGAACTCTAGTTCTGGAGCTCTACTTAGAATCATAGAACCCTTAAGGTTGGAAGGGGCCTTTAGAGATCCTCTAGTCCAACCCTCCTGCACATGCAAGGTCACCTACAGCATGTGGCACAGGGCTGCATCAAATTGGATTTTGAAGATCTCCAGAGAAGGAGACTCAACAATCTCTCTTGGCAACCTATTCCAGTGCTCTGTCACCCTCACTGTTAAGAAATTTTTCCTTAACTTTGGGTGCTTCAGTTTGTGGCCGTTTCCTCTTCTCTTATCAGTGGCCACCACAGAAAAGAGGCCGCCTCATCCTCCTCACTCCCTCCCTTGAGGTATTTGTATAYATTTATCAGATCACCCCTCATCCTTCTTACGCATAAGAAGGTCTTAAGAATAAGCCCAGATTTAGACTTGAATTCCACTGGATAGGTCAAATTTAGCTTACACAACGAGAGTTGTGTTTTGTCTCGTTATGCTATCTGATACTTCATAACATAATCAGAGCAAAACACAACTTTTCCTGACAAACTTATCTAACTTCTCTAAAAAGCAATAACTGAGGAGGGAAGGAGGGAGAAAGGAGAAGGAGAAAAAGAAATATTTTGAAAAGCAGTTTTGCTATATTCTTAGGCTCTGGAGTTTTGTGTATGTCTCTCATATTTGTTCTCTTTCCATGTTAGCTGACGGAGACCCTCACTTCGTCATTGATTTTCCCTCCAGCAAGTTCTCTGTCTGCTTCAATATTGATGGAGAACCAGGGGATATTCTCCGACTGGTCTCTGATCATAASGAATCTGGTAAGCAGCAGCAAATAAGCTTGCAGAAGAAAACTGAAGTGCACAGTCAGTTATGTCATGATAAACTCCAAGGTGAACCATAGCCAAGGAGTATGTAGAAGATTGCCAAAAAAAGTCTTTCAGGACAGGCAATGAAATATGGAGGTACTCCGTAGTAGAAGGTGAGATAAACTCTTTACTTGCACTCACCTCCAACAACGTCACAGCTTAGAGATAAGTTCACAGCWAGTATAGCCAAGGAGGAACCCTGGCGATTTTGCATACACGCTTCATCTACACAAGTGSATGTCAACAGATTAGAGCTAACCACAGAGAGAACTGCCCTTCGTGTTATCCAAGCTATTTCTAGTTCAAGTCTTCATTGACCAGAATTGAGGGAGATTCAATTGCTTGTTAAACAGCTGAGTATCTCCCTGAGTGCATGATGACCATGCTGTTCCCATTTCTATCCAGCTAGACTGGAGAACTCAGTTCCTGATGATTAGAGCTTGCACACACTGCTGGTTGTGGCACAGCTGAACAAACAGCCACAGGCATTTTGGATGCTCAGTATGCAGGGTCTGGGCAAGCCATGCAGCCAGCTCCCTGCTAGAAAGAGCATTCACTTTTCAGCTACAAAGGCAACACATTAATGGAAAAGCTTCAGTAGTTCTCTAGTTGCAAAATCACACAAGTGGAAGTTGTAACAACAAGGGTTTACAGAAATTGCTTTATTACTGGAACTTTCTTCTCTACTTTTTACTTCCTGATCACTTCAGGACAGAAATATCCAAACAAGCTAATCAAGCATTGAGACTATCTGAAACTACCAAACTTGCTATTAAATCATGACAGCCATAAGAAAAATCGCACAATTCAGGATCTGGGGTAGCTTGATCTTCAGGGGCCCACATTCTGGTTTGATCCGATCTGGAATTCTAAGTAGGGCAGCTAATAAGAGGATTATGCCTTGAGCAGAAAAGTAGTGGAAGGCAGGGACAKCAAAACCAGAGAAAATGCATGGACTTGTTCTTACAAACGAGATAGACAATCACAGAAATAAAAATCATAAGAATTTCGTATGGCACTGATGTAGCCTCCATATTTCTACATTCATGCTTGCCTTAGTGGACAAGGATCTTGCAGATCCTGGAAATATTTCCTTTACACTCTTTTCATAGATTGTGTTTGTATTCTTCACTGATTCTGGGGCATAAATACAGAATAAGCTAGGGGAGAATAGACTCCTTAGGCAGGTTAAGTCTATGCAGATAGGAATGAGAGGTTCCCCCAAGGATGATGGTATTTCATCTTAGTGTTAATGACTCGGGCTAATTGTCATCCCATATTGTTACTATCTAGTATGTATTCAGAGATCTGTAGGGAATATTTCAAGGTTAAGGAGTCACAAAAGTCATCAAAATGCTTGGGGGTTTTGCTGTGGACATCTAAGATTCAGTTCAGCCAGTGGGATCTGCGCCTTAGACTACTCAAAAATGGTTCTAGGGCAAAACTGAGGCAAAGCAGAATGGCAGCACAGGGGAAGCTGGAAATAACCCAGTGGGATTGCAGGGTTATGGGTCCTCCTCTGCAATGGCAAACTGAGATCCCAAATTTCTTTCAGTGCCACCTGAGGAGCACTTCACCTCAGACATTTGCAGGCCATCTGTTCCCTCTCCAGGCCCTGCTCAGTCTTCAACACATTGACCCAAACAGTAACACTAATTCTGTGCTTTCACAGACTAGATATCTTAGAATTTAGTCAGTGAGGGACACTRGGGGCACCTGTGTTCAGGGCAAGTCACTATTTCTGAACTTGCATAAATTTCATTGCTGTATATAAAGCAACCAATTTCAACATATTGGCTATGCTGTTTGGAATCCTGCAAGGTGAAAAAGTCAAGTATGAGGTGGTGGTGAATCGGCACTTGAATACTGGACTTCCATCTTTGAGACAATAGGCTTATTCTTTGGTTCCAGCTTTCACTTACTGATTATTTTTCTCTGCAAGGTATAACTGTGAATGGGCAATTAATTGGAGCTCCTGCACCACCCAATGGCCACAAGAAGCACCGGACTTACTTCAGCACCATCACTATCCTCAGCAACAAGCCAGAAAGATCCTACCTAGAGATCACACCCACCAGAATCATTCTGGATGATGGAGAAAGACTTGTTCTGTCCTGTGGCCGGAGTGCCATAGTGAAGAGCAACAGCCTTGAGGTGTCCATCTCTGCCAAWTCCAACATCACCGTGACAATACGAGACACAATCAGCTTTATTATCCTCATCCACCACTATAAGAACCCAGCGCCCTATCAGAAGGATCATCTGGGTTTCTACATCTCCAACAGTAAAGGCCTCTCTCCTSACTCCCATGGGCTACTGGGTATGTAACAGGTTCTCACGTTCACAGCAGTATACCAAGAGAACATATTGAGATAGCTTGGGAAAAATGATCCTTCTAAAGCGTTTTAACAGACAGGAAGAGGAAATCATGAACAAAGAAGTTGGGGATTAAGTTTCTACATAAGACTTCTCCTTCCATTCAGAAATAACTATTCTGATGCCCATATTTCCAACTCTCTTAAGATCTTTCTCTATAGGAGCTGTCTCTCACTATCCTGGCCACAGGGCTGTGCCAGTTTTCACATTTCTACTCTTTTTCTGATTCATCAGTGCCGCTGTCATTAACATATACGGGCTAGAAGTCCCCAAGGTTGAACAATAGAGATAAAGTGAAAGACAGCATACATGTATTTCAAAAGATCTTCCAAAGGAGAGCTTGACCCACAGAGCTATTGCACTACTGGAGATCACTGGGTTATAGCCTTGAGCTCTGCACCTGCACAAGTCCATAGGGATTATATTCTTTGCAGGACTGAGCTACTCATATGTGAGCCTGATCATTATCAAGAATTAATAGTTCTTGTTCCCCCCCTTTTTTTTTTCCCAAAGATGAGACATGAAATAAGAGCCATCCCCACGCTAGGCTTTAGGTAGAGTCAGAGAACATCTAGAAGGCTGGGCCCTTTTGAAGAGCAAGAAGTACTGATATTTATTCATCTTGATCAGGCTAATCACACACAGAGCTGTGTGAACAGCTTGGTCCTACAAAAATTTGGGCCTTCAGGACACACAGGTGTCCGGTGCACAGCTGTAAGGCTGAGGCTGAAGTTTCTAGGACATTCAGACACCTCAAGTTTAATCGGAGAATGATTCTTCAGGAGTGCAGTTTTGGGCTTAGGGCCCTCATCCATACAAGAATCTAAATCAATACATAGATTTGGCCTTGAAAGGTTTGTACCCAGGAAAGCAAGGGAAGGGAACTTGCAGCTTCAAGCCTAAATCTTTCTTCTTGCTGATGGGATATTATCCTCTAGTAACCTTAGCCCACAGAGGGGAACATGAGTTTCTTCCTACTGGAAGTTCAAAAAGCTCTTCAGCTCAAAGTTTGCATCTTGGCAAGTGGAAAAGAAACAGAATTTTATTGTAATTCCCATCTCTGTGTGAGGGAGGTAGACTCAGATTGCTATTGTGAAGAAGACCTTCACAATCACATACTCTAAGAATCTTCAAAACATAGATTGCTTTAAAAAAAGCATAAACACTTRTAAACAAACACAAAACAGCTATTCATGGAGTTAATTTTATCTTACATTGCAGGTCAGTTCTTGAAAGATGAAGTTAAACTTCTTCAGGAATCTCTAAACATGAGTAATCCACAGGCTGGTCAGAACAAAACTGAAGCATTAAAGTCAAACCCTACAAACACCTTGAAAGTCAAGGGACGACTCGTTCCTGTTGTATGGAAACAGAGAAGGATCTACAATGGCCAGCAAGAAGTTGACTGCTGGTTTGCCAAAAACAACGCGGACAAACTGATTGACGGGAGCTATAGAGACTATTTGGCTTCTCATCCTTTTGACACAGGAACCAACTTTGGGATGATTTAATAACCTTTAAGACCATTCATAATATCACRTTGCAGCACCATGTGTGACAGTCCCTTTCTGAAGCCTCTAGAACTAGGCAGCTTATGATTTTTTTTTCTTTGTGTGTGCCGAAGAAACCAAGGTTTTTCCCCTTGAAATAGCTGTCTTTTTTTCATCCTAGATGAAAAAGGGTCATCAAGTTCTTGAAGACAAGGGGAGSGAAGGGTTAAGAACACTGTTTAAGGGCATGGTCAGCACTCTCCTAGTGGAAGGGGAAGGAGAAAGGGGCCAGCACTCATATCTGACACTACAGAGAACTGCTGGCCCTAAAATAAACCCATCCAGTGGTCTGTGCAATATCCCCAGTGGCACAAATAAGACAGCTTGGTACACACCTAAAGAGTCAACCTTGAGCGATACATGTCACAAAGCTATGGTTTGGAGCACCTGATTCCACCACGCTTCCTGGGAAAAGGGCAGAGAGAGGGGGAAGACATGGGTGGATATTCATCTACAGAGATCCATTAGCATCAAAGAGGTAACAAAGAAATTGAAAAGTTAAGTCAGTAAAACTCAGGAGAGTTCTGCTTCCTGGGCCATCAGGGCAGGGTCTGCATTAGCCACTACCACAGTGCTCTCTAAAACACTACAGACCTGTTAATGAATGGCACAGACCATCACTTGGTTCATTGCTGCCTCAGAACACAAGCCTTGTGAACCTTGAGTCTTTAGCACTACCATGAGTGTTGTCAGTTCTCATTCGATGAAGCATCTCATTTAGGTAACCTTTCAGGTTCACCAGATTCTTTTATCCTTAAGAGAAAAACAAGCTTCCACTGTGAGCTGCCACTTCCTTAAGCTTAAGTTCTGCAGAGACTTCAGCTCTCTAGAAATGAACCACAACCTATGAGAGCTCATGACTGCATGAAAGAGAGCCCAACTTGAATTCAGACTAGACTTTCCTATGCTGCTTTTCTAATCAGGGAGGAAGTCTTTATTTACTCCAAGCCTTAAGAAAATTTTCAGCCTAGTCTCCCTGGCTGCTTCTCTTTCTTTATACTGCAGGAATTTGTACACTAAGARTTTGGCAACAAGGACCTTAGGAAAGGACCTGCCAACCACCCCCACTGCAGGTGGTGCAAAGAAGCCTCCAAACCCCAATGGCAAGGCTGTGATCTATTTTAAAATGAAGCATCCGTGAATAATGCTATACATCAGCCACAGGGGATTGCTTAGGAGAGAACTTGGCCAACAAGGACTTTGGCAATTCCAAAGATATTTACATGGAAAGGCCAAGTTGAGCTCATGGATACTCTGCCTTTCCAGCATTAAGGAGGAGGAGAGTGGGGGTGGAAGTATCTTCAGCAGCTAAATTATATCCATGTGTTAGCAGAGAAATAAGGAGTTGCCAGAGACCTACAGAAATAGGTTCCCTCATCACCAATTTCTTTGCAAATTTTAAAGTTAAATCATACTGCTGTTGTAGGAGGTCCATTTGCTGGAGCATGGGTGTTTTCCAGCTGCCTGGCCATCAAGATAGCGCTAGCACTGCACCAGCAGCAGCTACGAGGGCAGGAAGGCTAGCAYAGTTGCTTATTCACACCATGCCTTGTGGGGATAGAGAAATAGCTAAAAGCAACCAACTAAATTTAATTGTGCTCTGGAAGGTCCCTATAGAAAGCTCAGAGCCAGCACAAAATTCATGCCAAGGCTTGTGCTTTGGAATGAAACCTGAAGCAAAGCACTGCTTTAGGCCCAGCTTTCTTGGGAAACAGCCCTCTTACAGGAGAGAACAGAAGGCAAGATAGTCAGTGCAAGCCTGAGCACACCATAGCCAAAGAAGCTAAGGTTCATTGACAYGCACAGGAGCCAGGAATAAGAAAACAAGAGCTTTTGCGAAGCCAGGTCCTCTTCCTAAGAACACAGTCTTAAAGTCACCCAGGTTATTCTGAAATAAACTCCCATTTCACTAGCACAATGCAAGCAGGAATATGGTAGTGAATTTCTAGACAGTCCCAGGTTCACCAGGTGCCTTCCTTTGCACTGCCCTTACTGCAAGGGATTTCTTTGAAATCTTCACTCTCCCACGTTTTGCTTTTCAAATGTATTGCTAAGAGGATCASTTGGCTCCCCTCTCACCTCTCCTGTATATACATATAAAGATACATATATTGCTAATGCTTCAGGTGCATCATTGCTCCTCTTTCCCAGCTAAGGAAACATTTCATTCAGGTTAGAAAAAAAAACACTTCCCAGCCATGCAAAGCACTTAGAGCAATATGCGCAACTTCTCATAAAAGCTCCAGTTATCCATTTCACAATAAATATTTTTACAGTGAATGCTGCAGTGAAGCTTTCATTTGCCAGCGTTGAAACAATCTTTGGAGCTAAGGGTACATGTTTTATGCTGCTGAACAAGTTCATGTTACCACACAGCCAAAAGATCCAGTCTCAAGTCAGTGGTAAGTTGGGAGTTCTCAGTGATGTTCTTCAGTCTCTGCACACGTGGTAGGAAGCATGTTAGCCGACTGGGCTTAGGGATGCATTCCCGCACCAAACTAGGAATTTAACCAGAGAGAGGACAGATCCAAGCATCAAACACACCAGGACCAGACAAGCATCTGCTGCCCTGAGGATAGCAAGAGAAAGGTAGGTCTGAGACCACAAACTTCAGTTTCTTCTGTCTTTAAGATAGGATAATGGCATTCCTGCACCAGAAGAACATGCTCCAGTCTTGGTCCATAAACATCTTATTGGTGTTTGAGAGCACTTCCAGGAAACACACTACAAGTGCACATGCAAGGATATATACATACATTTGTTCCCACTTTACAAAGCATCTCAGAGCACTATATAGCAGTACAAAGACTATAAGATGCTCAGATAGTCCGGGAATGAGGACTGAGCAATCACTTTGGAGGACAAAAGGAAAAAAAGCACTGCTAGGAGAGCAATACATGTCAATATTTAAGACAAGGAAACAGAACTCCTGAAAATTAAGGATTCATGAAATTAGAACGGGTCTTACCCTGCTATGGTCTATTCTGAGAATGCTCAGAGGGGAAGAGGAAAAAAAATRAAAAAGCTAAGAGTTTTCACTGAAGACCTCAGACAGCACTGGAGGTGAAGCTAGAGTTGCACTGTGAAACATGTCCTATGCAATATGAATTCAGAGGTGTGCACCATTTATGCTAGCAAGCACTCTTGAAACAAGTATGGTTTTTGAACCTTTATTAGTAGCAAGGAAGAATAAAGGGGATTTCTTTTCCAGATAGAAGGCTGCACAGCTGCAAGCCAACTCTGTAATTCACTAAGGGGCACACAAAAGTTGGATTGGCATCTAAAGCTTGTAATTGAAACTTTGAAATTGAAAAGCTTTACACTTCTAGCTTAAGTTAGATGGTTTTAGTCCTTTAAAAACCAAGTTTGAAAATCCAAACCCTTTACTTCCTATTCCTAATTAAAGCATATTTTTCTTGGAAGAAGAAAAAGCACATATAAAATAAAAGGAGACTGACTGTTTTGCAACACACACTAGCATGTGTCTACAGCTCACCTGTGTTTTCCTCTTCAGCTCAGTGGATCCTGGCTCAGCCAAACCAACAGTGCTTAGAGCAGGGCCTGTCTCATTACCACTGCATCTGCCTAATGCACTGCTGGGCTGTGTGCAGCTGCTCTCTCCCTGGAGAGTTGCATAGTGTTTTGCATTCTTGCTTTGTATGTTAACAAGACAGCAAGTCCAAAGCCCCAAACCTCATTCCTAGAGTGGAAGATGCCTGGATCCAAGATGTCCCACAGGTCTTCCCTTATGTAAGTCCCACCCTAAACCATTCCATGATACCCAGAGTTTCAATGCTGGTTAACACTGCTTGTTGAYTCTTGAGATGCAGATTTTGGATCAGCTTACATTTGTTTTAAATGCAGTAAAAGAGAAGGAATCACCTCCCCTAGCAAAACAAGTTTATAAACTGACAATTGGGATTAAGATTCCAGACTGAACTGCCATCCAAGATAAGAACTGATACTACACAGAAGCATCAGCAGAAGTTCCTTCTTCACCACCTCTCCTTAGCTGATATGACCAGTCTATAGGAAGTGAGCAGTGGCTCTGCTCTCTCTTTGGTTTTCTAGAAGAGGTCCTTTGTGGAAAGGCAGCTTGCTTTGCAAAGCACTGTTCAAGAGAGACTTAAGCAAATCCCCTTCCTCTCCTTTATAGAGTTGAATTCTTGCAAAACACAGTAAAGGCATTTCAAAGACAAGGCAGTTCTAGGTCAAACATTTATTACATTCCTTATAAAACAGTAAAAAGCATCAGACCCACTAAGTCATCTTCCCAAGTCAAAATTTTTAAATATGTATTAACCAACCAGGTTTGACCATTTGTGCATGTAGTAGTGTCACAGTTCAATTAGTACAAGATAGATTTTTAATATAAAAAGGCATATTTAACTTTCAATTTCAGTCTAAGCCCTGACAAAGTTACACCCAGTTGGCCAGCCAGAAGCAGCCCATTTCCATCAACCTATCCAAAAATGTGCCTGCACATGTCCAGTTATGGCCAGACCAGTAAAGCAAATATTGCCAACTGCTGAGCCTGTACAGAATGCACAGCCACCAGAGACAACTGCAGAGGGAGAGGTCTTGAGGAGGCAGACAAAATGAACTCCACTGACCCAAGGGGATCAACTAACATCCCCCACCCTGCCTTTTGAGACCAGCTCAAGGATTACAGCCTTCCACACTTGTCCTGGTGTTGTCAGATGACCACCTGATAGCTGGGCTGCCTCATCTTCTGGCTTGTTCCCTGGAGTCCTGAAGTATCCTGGTCGCTTTCAGAGTGATCATAATCCCCATCTGGTGAGAGCAACACCTAGAGAGAACAGACAGATGCTGAATGAGAAAGTCCTGTCACACACAGCTGATGCTTCCTTGGCTGATGCTCTCAGCTTCTCTATTAGGAAAATACCTAAGCAGTGGCTCGCCAAAGGGGTTGGACATTGACACCAGAGTTGACTACCACATGCAGGCCTCACTAGCAGAGAAAAATRTCTTGAGATCAGCTTGTCCATCAACTTCAGCTGCTCTCCAGTGACAGATGGATAGATCTGGGTGCAAGCATCACATTCATGCCCCAAACCCCTCAAGAGCAGAGCAGGAAGATGAAAATTGTTCACTGAGGGACAGTGATCTGGGACTCRTGCCCAGACAGGCATGTTCAGACCTGGCTGCAGCCTCAGGGAAGGTGTGCAAAAATGAGGCAACATATTTTGCAAAAAGCTGTACCAAACCAAAACCTTGTCCTGGACCTCCCAGCTGCTTTCTGCCTCCACAGTTCTGGCAGGAGAGGAGGGAAGAAAAAACAAAGAAAACTCACAAACCAAAAACCTACAACAACAAAAAAAAAACCCCAACATACACACACAGACATAGGACCAAGCAAAATCACTAGTTTATCCATATTAGTTCATCCAGAGACATCAAGGTCAGGGGGTGCTTACTATCCTGACATCACCTTATTGATATCTTACATATCAGCTCCTGGCTCAAGAAAAAATCGGAAAGTTGAAGAGCTCTGAAATCTCTCATCACTTTCTCTCCAAATAAGAGAGTCCTCTGCATGATCAGAGGCTGCCCCATTGCCTCCAGGAACACTTCTCAGCTGCTAACTTCAGACTCACAGCTATTAACAGACTCTTTTGAGTTACTACCACCAGCCCAGAGCATTTACAGGATGCAAACAGGTTACTCCACAATCCCCATACAAATGCAGTTTGCTCCAAGGAGGCTGCAGAGACCTTCTGTTCTAGCACCAGCCCCCTATGACCCTGTTGGGCTTCAGGAGCTGAATGGCCTCTTGATTCACTCTGATGGGCTGCCCATGGAGCATGTCTGCCCAAGTCATAGTACTGCAATAYTATGCAGTCAGGAGGTGCAAAACCAGGGAACACATTGGTATTTTCACCCAGAGCTGTAATGCATATTGCCTGGCTAATCCCAGAGCCCAGTGCTCTCTAAGGCAAAAATCCAGGGCGTAGGGAATTGGTCTTATCAGTAGCTATCTCAGGACACTGCTATGAAAAAACATCTTCCATTTGTTACCATCTAGGCAGCACTCTGGGGCTAGTAACCACAGCAACAAAAAACTAAATAGGGAAAAACAAACTGCAATGAATCAATGGCTTCAAACAAGAGCCATGGGGGAAGTTTTCCTCCACACCCTTGCACACACTCCAGCCCCTGTCCGATTTYATCATCTTCACAACAGCACAGATTCAAACAGCAGTAGTTCAGATTAAAGCTTTTTCCACTATTGGTCTCAAGGAATTTAAATTTTAAAGAAGATAAATACATTGGAAGGCTGTTCCTCTGTTTATCACCACAAATACCATGACACTGTTGAACTAGAGGAAACAGGCAGGTAATTACACATAACACTATAGGCCACCAAACTGACACCAAGAGGCTGTAAGAAGGTAGCTTTAGGGTCTAGTGATCTGGAAATTAAGGTGAGTTTCAGTTTAAAATTCTTAAAGCCACACAGAGCTGGCAGAGCAGGCTCAGAACCTCGTACCTGCAGGCTACTGCCTGCCTGTCATGCAGCTCACATGAGGTCACTTGTGCTGAAGGCTTCATGGAGGTGCTCAAAGTTCTCCAGGGGCCTTTCCACTCTTTTATGAAGAGCTTCACCCTGAAAAGGCATCTCATCATTACAACAGCCACAGGATATACCCTCAGAACCATAGACAAGTTTAGAAGCAACAAAGACTTGTTAGGTGGTCTTTCCTTGGGGGATGCTTGCACCTACAAATGAGCTGGTCCAGTGGCCAGCCAGCTGCCATTCACCAACGAACTTAGTTTTGCTGTGACAGTGAATAAATGACCAGCGTCCACCATGCCAAGTGACTTTTTTTCTAGCAAAAGGCCATCTTGAACATTGTAAGCACAGCTTGCACAAGAGGCTTGCTTTGCAGATGTGTCCAGGTCAGGGGTGCAGCTGGGAATGGACCGTGGTTTCCCAGTCACAGGACAATGTGCTACCRTCTCATTCAGCAGTCATCACATCCTTTGTGCATTCCCCTCCACACTGTGAGGCCAGTGGCTTGCAAAACAGATCAGGGTCACACTCCAGAAACAAGGCTACCCACATGCTCCCCTCCAGACTAGGGGAATAGGCTGCATACTTGTTTGCTGCTCCTTCCCCAGGCTTATCAAGGGATCTCTGTGGCAGAGCAAGATTGAATGGAAAACTACAGCATAGGCAGAAGAAGAGCTCAGAGGCAAATTCCATCTCCAGCTGTGGAAAGTTGTTTGCCAACATCACCTGCCTGGAGCACAGGCAGAACCATTCTACCACATCCTACTTCTTGGCTTAGACATGTTCCCAAGGCAGTCAGTGGGACAGTGGCCTTCCAGAAGAGCCTCTGCAATTTCCTTAGCTTTCACCTAGGGATCAGACACTTGAGGGCATCCCAAGATTTAAAATTCATTTAAAATGAACTCAGCTAAGTCACAAATTAATCAAACTTGCTCTTAGAATACTACTTGATAATTAAAGCCAAGCAGCAGAGGTATTAGCATTCAGTAATATCTTCACTCTAGTGATCTGCCTAGTCAACACAGTTCCTAAGCAAGGAATTGGGACAGACACTGAACTGCCAACATTGACTAARGGCAAGTCTCTATTTAGCTTTCCAACCACATCAAATTGTCCTCTGTTTTCATCCTATATGGTTCTTCCAAGTACTCCTGTTATTAGGCAAAGTTTTACCATAATACCAGTCTATGAAACAGCCAATCTTAAAAAGGAAATGGGAGAAAAAGCAGTAGCAACTCAAACTCCTCCCTAGAAGAAAAAAAGAAAAAAAAACCAAAACCAGTTCAAAGAGTTCAACAAAACATTAGAGTCTGACTTGTTTTCTGAGTGGAGAAAACAAAGAAACTACTGATAAGATGAAGCTTATGAGCACTTGCAAGAATAAGGGAGAAGAGACTCTAGCAACATCCTGGCCTTGGTCTGAAAATTRGGCCACAAAGATCAGCCCTTTCCCCCAGGCTGACCAGCACTGGACCTGAACTGGTACTCCAGAGTAATCTCTTCCCATCCCCTAAAAGGGCAAAAGAGGCAACATGATTTATTAAAAAAAGTCACAACAAAAATTTGCAAAAGGAAAAAAGTTAATATTTGTCTGGAAGGAAGGGTGAAATTCCTCCAGCAACAAGGAGGAATTCTCTCACCCCATGGGATTTCAGTATTACAAAAAAAATCTGAAAAAATTCATCATCCATTATAAACAAGAGTCCAGTTTAGCATCTGTGGCTCCACAAAAAGAGCCCTAAAACCACTGAGAAAGGGGCAATCCTGCGTTGCAGCTGTGGAACCAGTGAGCCATTCCAGTAGGAGGATCCAAAGGCAGGTCTTCAACAGGTTAACTGCAGCCCTCACTTCCTCTCCCCCTTCCCTGCTCCTTATCCTAACTGCTACCGCAAGTGAAAATAATGACACTCTTTATTGGAGAGATAGGCAAAGGGTTGAAATTCAAGTAGGCAGCGTGATGGGGAGCAGTTGGCGCCTGCTGCTAGACGGTCCTGATGAACCCTGATAAACTGCTGGACACATTAGCCTCAGCCAGCCCCGTGCCCAGATGCTGCTCAGCCACTCACTCTCCCTCCCCCTACACTAGGGCAGGAAGAGGGAAGGGAGAAATCCTCTCATTTTAACAAATTGGCAACAAATTATTGGCAACAAATAGCACCCATCTTCTCTTTTTTTGAGGCTAGATTCCTGCCAATCTGACTCTGAGGCTCAGCCAGACAACTGTTTTTAACTCCTAGCCTAAAATGGCAATTTATGAAGTAGTTATGAATTTATGGAGCTGCCTATGGTTACCCTAAGGCCCAAGGGGCTGTGGAAAAACCATGTATGCTAGAAACTCTGATTCTATGAAACAGGCATTACTGTTTTGCTTCATTAGCTACCTTCTCTGGCCCAGACTTGGTTYGTGTACCTTTGGTCCAGCACTAACCACATCATATCAGGAAGGAGATAGTCTCAGCAGACAACTCTGGTTCCCTAAATAGCTCCACACCAATGAAGAACAGATCATCTGCRTGTTAAAGGCCTCAGCAAGACTTCATGTATCTAATGAAAGGATTCAAGTACTTGAAAGACTGGAAATGTTTTTGACTGTAAGAGCTGATCCCTGGGAGTCCCATTTCCATTGCTTGAAAGAACCTGCCTCTGCTCAGCTACATGAAAACAGCTATTAGAGAAAATTCCTATACCAGACTGTTGTAACCATCTTTCTCAGCTTCTAGAGAAGAACAGGTTGCTCTCAGATTATCCAAAACTTRTATAGAGGCCATGAAACATTCATCTTCAGTGGAGTAAGGCAGAAGACTATCTCCTTCTACAGCAGACTGGTAACTAAGACGATCTTTGTATCCACAGCAGAGGCCTAGATGTTTACATTACCATTTATRAGACTAAGTGTTCCAAGCTTAGGTTAAGAGCTAGGAAAAAGCTGGAGCCTCARTCAGAAGTGATTATCTCCTTACTCTCACTTCTGACCTGATATAATGTTAAGATCATCTCAGACCTGCAAGAGCACACACATACATATATAGTATGTATTTATACTCAATAAAGCAGACCATCACCACAGTATTTTGAACAAGCGTCTAATCCAGCAAATCCAAGGAAATACCTCTCCTGAATATGTCACCARCAAGAAAAGTTAAGGACTGGACCATGAATAGGGAAGAGCCCATGCCCAGAGTTAAGCTGTCATTATACCTAAATAAGAGTCCACAAATTGCTCGTGTAGATGCACAATTGCCAAGATATGGTACCCTTCATTCAGGCATCACCTTGCTTTTATCTCCAAATCACTGAATATTTCTCAAGGATGTCCCCACCACACACAGCTCAGTAAACTCCCTGGGACAGACAGTTCAGATGTCTTCAGATGTAGCCAAGCTACAGCTGTTTATTTGGAGGCCAGGCCAGGATGTGAATCATTTGTCTCACCAGCTGTTCACATCTGCCTTTCACCACTCCAACAGGGAAGATTCCTCTAATGCCACATCACCATCAGTAGTGGGAATTTCTCCACTGTGCCTTTAAGCAGTTTAAGCCATTGTTCTTACACAGATCATCAAATAAATAAAGCTACTATTCTGTGCATAAGCAAGCGCAAGATRAGAGTTGCTGTTTAACAGATATTTTCTGGCTTTGCAGTCAGCGTCACGAGAGTACAGAACATGTGCTGAAAAAAAGCAAAAAAAAATCTCTCCCTGTTCAGCTTAAATTCCTCACCAGAAGCTACTTCAGAAGCCAGCATGCAACTGCTAGATTCTGTTTTATCTTAGCAGAACTTGCCAGTGACCTGCAGGATATTTTAAGTCACACATGGAGTGCTGTGAAACTGAGCCTAGGAATCAGAGGAAGGAAGGAAGGAAGGAAACTCAGTTCAGCTACTTCATCTGTGACTCTAACCCCAAATCTGAAGTGTAGCCCCTATCTGTCTGATGAACTGTGCGTCAACAAGAATAAAATCTGCTGGTAGTGGGTTATTTTCCCTCCCCAGCCTTTCAGTGTCAAGTTCAAGCTATACAAAATACAAATTCCTACAGTTAATCTGAGGAGTTTAACAGTGACAAAACAGGATTCCCATCTGGACCATCTGCAGCCAAAACAAGGAAATAGGATGCCACCACTCACTATAAAGAAAGCACAGTCTTTGAGCGACAGTGCTAAAGCTTCAGCTTTTTGAACATCAGCTTCAGCTTGCCGTTCAAATAAGCCCATATTTGTGTAAAACCAGTTCATTTAGTGTTACTGAAGTATAGCTCTATGTAGGCTGTGAAACTGCTCCTTGTTAAGAGATTCAGATTTCTCCAGTAAATATTCCTATATTGACCTCAGCTGCAAACATGAGAAGTTCTGTCCTAACAGAATCATCACTTATTTTTGAAGCATTGCTCAAAATAATCCTATCATAATGATACATTGAATAGTTAAGAGCATATATAGGTAAAGCATAAAAGCCAAACCCCAGGCTYACAGCCTGGGTTTGTGTGCAGAACATCTTTGGCCTTACCCGAGATTCCTCTGTTCTCCTAGCCCGTGGGGTTTCTATGGATCCATTGATGTCCAGGGTATCCTTCTGCTTGTATTTCCTCATGATCAAGCTGTCCACAACCCAGAACATTATAGCCTTGAGAGGAAGAAAGGGGAAGGGAAAGGATTTACATGAGTAAACTGCAGAGACCCAAACACAATGCAGTATAAAATATACTACARATATTTCTTCTCCAAGTCTCCGGGCTTGAGCAATCTGTATCAGGGGTGTACATGAGAGTTGGAGTAGACAAATTCCTCAGGTTCTTTCCAATGATTAAATAAAATGAAATAAATTCTATATTTGCTGGAAACCCAGTGAAAGACTATTAGTAGGTCAAGGTTTTTTTTGCCAGGAAAGCACCTGCACTACAGCAACTGAGCTGTAGGTGAAGGATTACTCACTCAGGGGAAGCAGAAAAAAAGTTGAGTTTTCAAGAAGCTTTACCAAACAAGTTTTGAGAAGAAAGTCAGATCTGGGCAAGCTGGACAACTTTGTGTGGTATCATACTTTTCTAGCTAAAAAAATTTATACAGCATGATCAGATATGAGCAGCAGTACTATCTGCTCATCTCTAACCTTTGGGCTTCTACTTTTCACCTGCTTTGATTACATCTATTGTAAGAGTTTCAATATATCCATTCAAGTGCTAAGAAGTCCTTCCAATCAAGGTAAAATTRTAGCTTCTAGCTTTTCAAGTGGTCAAAGACCACATCCAGCAGAAGGTCTGACCCTGGCAATCACCTATCACCTTGCAATAAGTTCAAATMCCCTATTTTAGCAGGACTTTGTATCCACATTGGCTCTGTTCTGTGTGGTTGTTATTGTAAAGCAATCTGATGCAACCCTACCAAGTACATAKCACTACAGTTGCCAAGAGAGACCTTTTTGAATGCTGTCATGGCTTTTATTGAAGTGACAAGTTCCCAGGACAGCCAAGTAACTACTACAGTGGAACCTCAGCCTCAATGTGATCTGAGAACACTTACAAGTTTTTGGCCATTCTTTGGCCCATAGTTATGGGCTATTTTCTAAGAGTATTCTATATAAAACAGGAGGGGTTATTAAATAAAAGTTGGAGTTCAAGAGTTGGAGTACTTAGTAAGTACTGTTCTTATGGACTTTTTGCTTGGCAAGTACCATAAAGGCAAAATTGTTTTTTCTTCCTCAACTATATAACAATGTTTAAAAATATGCATGATGAAGAACCCATTGTTAATAGATCAYGGAACAACAGGATGGACTTTTACACATAAGTCCCTCAAATTACACCTTCACCTCCATTTCATCACTCTTCCCATGTCCATACGCATCTCTCCCCTTAGAGAGGGTTGTTCCAAGCATCATCTAGCACTTGTAGAGGCACTTACATTGACTACAAAAGGCACAACAAGCATCACCAACACCAGCTCCAACTGGGGGTTTGGGATGTAATCCAGAAGAATCTCTTGAAGCTGCAGAGAAAACAGCACTTACAACTTTTACAACTTACAACATTTACAACAAGCACAACAGCATTACAACAACATTGAACAACTCTGTTGTAGGTTCTTGGTAGCAAATTACCTCCCTTCATTTACTGGCCAGTTCCTAGTTAGGGCTCTGCAGCATTTTCTTTACTCAGCTCTTCCAAAGGTGACAAGGGTTATCCTTTAGTTCAGCTGCTAAATATCCAATTTTCTACAGAACTACTGAGCACTGCTAGTGTTCCAGTTTAATTATCCATGATGACAACTGGTGGGATTTTCCTTGGCTTCTTAGAGCCTAGTTGCAAAATACAGACACCAGCCACACACGAGGTGCACTGAAGGGAAGCCAGCAGCATTTCTGGATCTTGCTGAACAACATGTTCACATACCACTACATGCAAATATTCACGTTCATTTTCTAAGTCTGACCATTGCAATCTACCGTGCCTGGAAACCTCAGTGCTTAAGTGCTTCCAGATTGCAACAAAACTCAAGAGCCTGCATCAACTTTAAGAGCACTTAACAGCAAAATGACTCCCAGCAACTCCCAGAACAGGTTTGTATCATTGAATTACCCATGGGATCTACCTAAACCACCTCTCTAGTTACATCCATGGGATTATTCTTGCTGAGAAACTCATGACCAAAATACCAGCCATCACTGAGTGAGCTACCGTCAGAAAGTGCATGTGTGTGAATGGGACATCTTGGCTAGAGGTTAATTTCAAAAAAAATCTTCTAAGCTAGTTTCATGGGATCATGAAACCTCAACGTGAAACAACTTGACAAAGTGGCACAGCATTTTTCTGGCAAGGCAGAAATACACAAATAAGCCTCAAACCAAGAGATCTCTGCTGCAGCCCAAATAATTTTATCTTTTCAAGGATGGAAAAAGAAATTCTTACTAATTTGTCTAATTAGCTTGAATGTACCAAAAGCCAAASTATTTTAAAAATACATATTTCACCAAACCTAAGTAATTGCTAACAATCAAAGAGCTGTCTACAAGTCACAAGGATTAAAGGTGGTAACTTGTGACAACAGAAGTCATCAATAGGGTAAAAAAGATAAGCAGTAAGCCACAGTGGTTGTGGCCAGAAATATAGAACTAAGGAGCTTACCTTTGTCCAACCTGGGATAAGCAGGACCAGACTTATCACAGTTTTCTCAAAAACCATTATTAGCAAATAGAGAATACATTGGCCAATCCAGGCAGCAGCTTGTGGTGGATCACCTGAAAAAACAACACATTCAGCTTGATACAGGGCAAAGGCCTCAGGCTTAAGATATGCTCACCCCTGAGGAGAGGGGTGAGAGAAACACTCCCAGCCTAGAACTTTTGGAGTAACACAGCTACTCAAAGTAGAAAGAGTTGAAATAGTGGAGATTCTCTAGATATAGCCCTAGGAACACATCTAGTGTGGAAAAGTAGGGGAGTCACTGAGATACCATTATTCTGCTGGAGACCAAAACATACTTTAGTTCTTACTGGAAAGTTAGATCTAATCTACTACATCAACCCTTTCTACTATCCACTGTTTGCTCTCCATCCACGCCAAGTAAATTTGACTTGTACTAACATAGCTTCTTCCRTAGACTGGTCCCTTATTAGTTACAGATTTCGTATCTTTACAAATTGATGAAAAGGAAGAGAGAGAAAGGAAAGACGTACTCTGCCTCCAACCCTGCTCTTTGTTTCACCAGCCTGCCTCTGCAAGCCATCAAAAGCAGAAACCAATACAAACGTGGTGGACTTGCAATATAGTACATACACCCCCAATGCCTATCCTTCCTAGAACAGTTGTTTTTGTGGAGCACATGCCTGTCCTACAAGGCATACCACTTTGCTCCTCTAAACTGTGAGGTCACAGCTCRGGCCATGCTTGAGGACCCAAATTCTGTGTGTTTATTTGTTGGTCTTGTGACTTGCATACCAAAGAAGCACCATTTGCCAGTTCATTTCTACCCTTATCTCCCCATCTCCAATATCCCAGTCCTTTTACTAGGAAGCTTTCATTTCTCTTTGTGTCATCTCAGTGGATTGTTACTGGCCATCTTTTAGCCTAACAGTTTTATCTGTTAAAGGAAGAAGAAAATAGCCTAGATTTATAGATTACCTTTTCATAAGTGTTTGCTCATGACTACCTGCCCAGCAGACTTTCAACTTCAGAGACYGGAGATTTCATTTCTCCTCAAAAGCCCAAAGGCAAGTCCTTCACCCTGGCACCCCACTTTCTCACAGCAGAAAAGAGAAGCTTTCAGGGACCCCCAGGTCCTTTTTTTTTTGCCATAACATTAGACTGAGCAAATATTTTTATATTATAACAAACTCCATAGTGAGCCTCAAGGCAAAGCACTGTTGAACTGACCCTCCTCTAGAGAGGGGCCAGCCAGGATCCTRTACCAGTCTGAAACCTTCCAGGCACCAATCTCAACTCAAAAAGCACATGCTTTCAGTCCTAGACATAATTAATCTTTTTCTGCTGATAGAGTGAACAGCTTGTTATATAATACTTATTGTCTGAGCAAGAGACAGGGGCTCCATCGCCCCTGGTTTTAGAGCAATCCGCTCAAAAAAAATCAATGCTAATTAAATATGAATGCTTCCATTGGGGTACTTATGAAGTAATAATTAAAAGCATATTTGTATTGCTAACAATGATAATGGTACCATATCTATTACATGTGCTTGCTTCAGCTTTCTGTAAGGCCCCTACCAGCTGGTTATCATCTTTCCCAGCTCATCAGAATATCTCAGGTCTGCAAAACTGAGCCACAGTATCTGGCTTCGGAAAGACTTAACATTTCCTCTTATTACTTGAACATACAGATAACCCCAGGCAACACTTGCTTCCAGGGCAATCAGAGCAGAATTTGGGACTGCATCTGTGTAAGGAAATACTTTGGGAGGCCAGTGTTTGGCTTCATTGACAGATTTCAGCAGACTAGGAGGTCTCTGCCTCTCTTCTATCAGCACAGCTCTGCGGAAGCCTTGCARAGAGAAGAGCAACAGTTGCAAAAGTTGGTCTAAATCACTATGCGAAACTCCAGTCCCAGAATCCAGCTGTGTGCATCAAGATTTGATCAACCACAGCCAGCAGGGCACATCACAGATTTTAGAAAACATGCACTGCTGCTACTTGGCAAGCAAGTGCTTAATGGGTGGTCAGTGTTACTAGGTGGTTGGCTATAAGAGGTTAGTGTCAGRAAGACCAGAGGGTCTTGCTTCTTTTGAAGCACAGACTCGGTCACATAGTCCCTATGCCCTGTCATCTTCAGCACTGGTGGAGTATCCTGGGGCTTCATGCCCAAAACACAAGGTTAACCAATCCTTCAATGAACCCCCAGGTTCCCAGTGCCTGTCACAGCTCCAAGTACAAACAGAAAAGGAAAACAAACAGATCCTTCGTTTCCTTCCTGCATTTGAACTCTTTCCCTCTCCCTGTGTTGTCAGCTGCTCTGCTCTGTCCCCTGTGGAGAGGCAAGACCAGTATCCACAGCACCCTTTGCAGGTCAGTTCAACCCCTCCGTGATCCTGACAGCAAAATTCTCCCCTCTACAACCTAGTTTCCTTTAGAAGAATCTGCAAGCTTGAACTCATTCATTATCAAAAGTGACTACAGCTCTGAAGTTCTGCACACCAGGCTCTAGACAATCTAAACAAAATGATGCACCTATACTAGCAAGGACAGACCTAGGCACTTTACTACCCAAATAATCACATTTCTCCTCCTGTTCCTTTCTTACATCACAAAGATGCTGTGACTCCCTCCACAATTAAAAAGGACATAATCACTTATGGTATGCCCACACTGAAAGAAAGTGGGAGGAGACCCATAGACCCATGTAGAGCAGGTGGACAGACTTGTCCTCTATTGCCAGCTATGGCAGCTCCAAGTTGCCAGTGTTTTGTAACTTGCTCCTTTTTATGTTCTTTGTTTTCAGACTATGCAAAGATAYGATTCTGCACAGGAATCTGTTCCGGAGCACAGAATTTAGCCGGGTTTTATTTCCAGCCTCTGGCAGGAAGATCAGAGGGTTTTCGTCAGTTTTTTACTGCATCTCGTGCCCCCAAGGACAGGAGGCTGCCTAGTACCAAAATATCTCTAGACTAAAGAATATGAAACAGCAGCACTGCCCAAGGGGCCACAAGGATGACTAGTTATAAACAGACCATKGCTTGTTTCCTTCTCACTGTCCTTTACCTTGGTGGATTTGATGTCATCCAAAGGTCAGTGGTTCACCTCAGTGACTCAAATCCAGCTCAAAAATCCAGCTTGCCACTGACTAGTGCCAATAGCATACRAGTAATCATCTGTGTTTAGTGCAGTCCCTGAACTAGTCAAAAGACAGTACAGACAAATCTCTCCGAACTTAGGAGACAAAGTRTGAAAACTCAAACTCATCTCTGCTAACTTTGTCCTTCAGTTAGGTGCTGGCTTTCAACAGATCTGAGATGGCCCAAGGCACTCAGACCTCTAAATTTTAAGTGGACCAAATGCTATCCAWAAGTACTCTACTCCATGAAAAAGAATTGATCTTATCAAGCATTTCAATGTGATAAATTCAAGGGAATGCCTACAAGGCTTCTTCTYCCAAAGAAAATAGCCATCTAAAAATAATTTACTGTCTGGAGGACAAAACTCAATAAAGATGGATTCGTAACTGTGGCTGAAGCTTCATATTCCTGGTAAAAGAGAGGAACAGGTCCAAAGGATCTTCTTRGCCTCCGCAACACACCTCTTATTTGGAGAAGTCATGTGTCATTATCTGAGCAGCTTCCCAAAGCAAAGGCTTCTAGTGAAGGTAATCCAGGACCTTTCACCTCTACATGCCAGTTCTACTGCAGAAGTCATCCTTTTAGCTTAAGGAATATTGTGCTTAACCCTTCCCATGGCTATCTCACACCATGACAATACACACATATATCCCTAAGCTTTCACTCTGAAGGATGCAAGAATTGCGTTAGTCCATTCTCCTTGAGGAAGATCCACACCATCAACTTATTTTCTCTATACTTGTCCCTGTCTGAGTGAGACGTTGTTCAGAGTTCAATGCCACGTCCTAGATTTGAGCTTGCCAGCACTCTTCACTGGCAAAATCTCCTCAATGCAAACCCAGGATCACTGGTGTCTGCAACAACCTCACACACAAACATTCATGTCTCACATATTCCAGTTGCRTGTGGGAGTCCAATTGCTTGCAGAGCCCAAAGCCAGGAAAAGCAGCACTGCTTGAGGTATTTGAGTTGTTACCACACAACAGGATTAATTTTAATCCCAGCTGCATAACGTACCAAGCTGTCAGCAAAACCCACATGCTACTGCCAGACAGCTTTATTTACTGCCTTTCAGCRACTATATGTGCACTGAACAGGTAGGAAAGAATTTAGCCATAGCAGAATGCACAGGTTTATTCTTCCTTGAGGAAGAATAAACATTTGAAAGCATTTAAAACTGGCACARTGTGACATGGTGGGGGTAAAGAGTCACTAGAAAAATCTTAAGAGCTATTTTAGAGGTATAATTTAAACAAGAGATCAAATAATCAATGCTAGCTTCTACATACAAAGCAAGGTAAGAAATTGTAATAAAGTATGCCAGTTCCAGAGAAGTGCACAATAAGACCAGACTGAATTTTTAGAAATTGAGACCTGACCAAAAGTTGTGCAGGTTTTAGGCAGGACAACTTGCTGTCAGCAAAGCCAGGTGGATCCTGTTATTTGTGCCTTCCAAGGCCTTYTCTGATATATTCTGTATCTTTTCTGGTATATTCTATATCTGAACAGAGGATGAACATGCAGCTGAATTGGTCCCCACAGTTTTGTGGTATTATGGGCTTTAGCTCTAGGCTTTCCTCCTTGGAGACACTTCTATTGCAGTGTGTAGTGCAGTGTAGTGTGAACATCACCATTCCCTATCAGCAAGATTCAGAAGGGTTCAAGGACTGTGCAACTGCTCAGAGCAAGCTACCTGACCACACACTTGTCTACTTGAAAAGGATCCTCAGYCTTTTTCTTACTCTTTCTTTCCTCCTGATCCCTACAGTAGAGAGCTCAAGCAAGCAGAGGAYGACAAGACATCCCCTCAGGTTAGTGCATTTTCAGTAGTATTTCCTCAAGCACTAGCAGCCAGCTCCGTTGGCTGCTTCAGGACGTGGGAATATTTGTTATGGAAAATTTGTACAATACCACAACAGGGCCAAGAGCAGCCTACACAGATCCTCAGTTAAACTCAGCAGCTGGCACAAAGCATATTCTCTTTAACTAAATTTGACCAGCAGAGTTCAACAGGTCGCTGAACAGAATTCAGAGGCCTCCAACTAACATGCCTTTCCATTTCCAGACAGTGAACTAGCAGGACACAAAGTTAAATTAGTCAGAGACTACAACTACAGAATAGTATACACAAGTATCCTGACCTGCACTGGAGAGGCATTTTTCAGTCAAGAACACCCACGTTTCCCTATCATTCCCATAATGCTTCTCTTCAGAACTCTGCTCACACACTGAAGAGCATCTCTTAATTCGTATTCATTTACTTACCGTTAAAGTATTATTTTCAAAATGCACTAGTTTTAAATCTACTTGACCTTTTTTAATTAAATTGACTATAAGCTCAGTCATTTTAACCCTTCACTATTTGCTTCTCAGAAAGATGGTTTGAAGACAAGTTCTGGAGATGAGATCCTRCCCTAACAAATTAGAAAAGCTGAGCACCGGCATGATTCTTGACACATCCTCATCTTTCTCTTTGGCCACCTTGGTGGTGACCAAATAGGACTATGCTGATGTAGTTGCATTTGCAGTATCAGGACACCACAGCCAACAACAGTTTTTCCCCATAGGGAAAAAGCCTACTACTAGGGGACAGAAGGCTTCAATTTGAACCAGACTGTTGTCTTCAGGCTCCAGTTTCAGCTCATACTAGACCCTGCTCAGTCCATGCAAGCCTRGTAGCATTTTCAAGGTCTCTTGTGTCTATTCCTAAGTTTCTTGCAGCATGAAGAGCAACTTAAGCGCTGCTTCATTCATCTGCCTGCAGAAGTCACCTACAGGAAGAGTACCTATAGGTATAGCCTGCTGCTATCCTGATAAAGCAACAGTACAAAGAGCATTCATGGAGCTTGGTGGCCCAGTTAGTACTTCAAATAAGGGAAYCATCATTCTCCAAAGCCAACTCAAACCAAGACAGAAACTAAACCTCTCCAATCTTTGATCTTAGAAATTTTGATCTTCAAAAGAGACACAGCCTTTCCTAACACAGATTCATACTTCAAGGCAGTCAAARCTGAAAAAAGAAGCAATTGAGCTGGTGTGCAAAGACAGAAGAATACAAATACAAGTCTTTGACTTTCCACTGACTAAAAAGTGTCTTTCCTGGCTACAATAGTCTTTGGCTAAGACTTCAGGCACAAAAAGCACTTGACTTGAGAAAAATCCATTATCTCCAAGCTTCAAAAATGGAAGGCATGTATGAACAGCAACTTCTGGAAAGCTGATTGTTTGAAAGTTATCACCTTCCCCCCTCAGCTCAGAGCCTACTTTACAGATACAAAAGTCAAGCAACTGATTCCTCTTACCCGTGCAAAATTTTAAACAAGGATGTAGTTCTTTCTAGGCTGATCCAATCCAATGATGGCTGATCCAATATGGTTTCCCGAAGGATCTTATCCAACAGCCCCACAAACACAAACCTCTAAACAAAGGATGAGAAAGCTCTCAAGCAACTTTTGGAAGAATGTTAACAYTTGGCTTAAAATAGATATTCAGCTGATAGGTTGCTTGGCTCAAAGATGCCATGAAACCCATCCTCCTAAGTGCTAGAAGGCATCTCTTCCAATCTTCTGTTTAAGTGGCATAAATTTAAATGCTTTCCCTTCCTTTCTCTTTGCTTCTCTATTAACCCAGCTATTGCAGTCACTTAGGGAAGAGTTTCACAGGGCCTTGGAATCAGGCAAACCAAACACAGCCTAGGTACAGAGGCAGGTTATTACTGGTTATAATAAAGACACAACTGCTTCTTGCTCAGAAGTTTGTTTGTGCTTTCCTGATATTCTGCCCTTCTTCCTCTGCAAGAAAGGCTTTTATTTTTTGGGATACTTGAAGAAATCAAGGGAAAGTCGGGTACAGCAATAGCACAGGAAATGAATCAATATTTCTGGAGTTGCATCAGATCGTACCAAAAGTTTATTAGCATCTTCCAGCATGGTRACTGGTGTGGAAGTCATCTAACTAGATGAGGATACCAGAGTTCTTCCTCAGTCCTGTGGCAGCATTGCTCTTGATGTGCCACTTAACTTACATCTAACTTTTCCATTGCAGTCCCTTTGGCCCAAAACCTGCACCAAGAACAGGGTGGATGACATTTAAGACCTTATTCAAGAGCTGAGTTTCAASAAGAGTTATTAATGAATACAAGATTTCCTCAGAGAAGTGAGTTGTTTCTGTAGTCTAAGCCAATCTTCAAGAGAGGAAAACTACAGCTCAGTGGAAGTTCATTACTGCTGTGCAAGGTTAGAGCAAGCCATCAATACATGTTAACACTTCTCTGCTTCTGTTCAACTGCAGACGTGGCATTTGAAGCTGAAGCCATGGCAGAGATTAGAGCTTTTCTTGCTCAAAAGGGGAAAATACCAGTCCATGAACTAAGAATACTTGGATTCGTTTATTGCCTCATCTGAAAAACATTAGTGCTCTGTTCTTGGCTCCTGAACAGTAAGGAAGCTACTTGAGGCATTTGATCCACTGCCAAAACCCATTTATCTGGGTGCATGTAACCTGATTTAAAACTCATAAGTCAGGGGGACCTCATACTAATTCATATTATGTTCTGGTCTAAGCTTCACCTGGCCAGTTAAACCAGATACAAAAAATAAGGAAATAAGGTGACCTTTAGGAAAACAAGCAAGTTACTTGTACTACRGGATGTGTCTAAAGTTTTTCTTTGTTTGTTTTTAAATTAGATGCTATATGAAATAGCAAAAAAGGCTGACTTGCTTCTCCTACATCCCTTGAGAAGCACTGTTCTTGAAGCTGGCTCTCCTCTTTCTGAAGGAGAGTGCTRCCCTCTAGTGGGGTTGTCTGGGAAAGGCTTTTGAAACATGTTTCCCCCCCACCATACACCTCTCGAAACAGAAATTAAAGCTGCCAGACTCAGAAATACTTAAACTTGGCATTTAGCATCAGTTAGGGAAATCATAAGCCTCCCAGGTTGTGTTACCAAATGACAATCTGTATCCTACTCATGCTTACCATAGCTCAAAGCAAACACAACTGCAGGTCTTGAACCAAGAGGCTTCCCTAAAAACCCCTTAAGGTTATTGTACACTGACTTCAGGCATACATTATTTTCTCAGAGAAGTGTCTAACTTGCCTCCACCACCTACTCTACTCAGGTTTGCTTGGCAAGGCAGTAGGCACAGGCATTTGCAACCCAGTGACACTCCAGCATTTAACATTATCACTACAACACTTCATTAGCTCCTTGGAGGCAAAGGAAGGGATAACTGAAAATGAGTCACACTTTTGCAGAGGACACCTCCYGCCCAAACAGGAGAGAGAGAAGGAAACTGCTGTAGAAATTCTTGACACCTACCATATTCTCCAAAGACCAGGTATGTGTACTTCTGACGCTGCACAACCCAGGAGACAACATTCACACCAAGCCAKATCAGCAGCATTCCCAGTGTGGCATCAAGAATGAAGTTAATGAGGTAACTAAAAGCAGAAGAAAAAAATATTTTGTAAAATTTTAAATACAGGCTTTGGTTGTGGTCTTAAATCTACACAAAACAATCAAGACCTATGTCAACATGAAAAGGCATGAAAAGACAAAAAACACAACAAACAACCAAAAAAATCAAATTCTTCACTTAAAGTAGAATCCCCTAAGTAAGATCTCTAATATGTATATGGAGTAAACCTAATAGCAAAAATTTCTTAATTTAAGAGTTCCTTAAACAGAGAAGGGAACAGGCTCCACCAACTCCCTGGCCCGATTCATTTGTTCATACATTATTAAATAATTTTGGGGGTAACTCTTAATCAAGATTAACTCAAGGATGTAACCTCTTGACAGCASCCTCTGATCTGGACCTGATGAGCTTGTCTTGATGCTTTAAATGTTTAAGTTCCACTTGAAAGGGTGCCAGAGCTTAAGAGACCTGTCGGGACCTTCTAACACAGAGCTTTTACACAGTGTTTTAGGAGACTCCTAAAAGAGCATCTCCAACTCAGATGAAWGTTTTTTGGCAAGCTTCATTTTTGGAGCCTTTCTGCTAGATCTGGCCAGATTTCTACAGTATGAAGAAAATGCCAAGCACAGTTACAGAAATGAACGGAAACGTTTCCTTTTCCAGAAATTGATAGGACCCAAGAATAAAGGCCCTGAGAATAATCATCTTCTTTCAATATCCACTCTGAAAAGATGACTTAAAGTTTTGGTATAATCTAAGGCTCAGACTAGCTTACTGAAGCATTCATCTGTAGAAACTGGAGTACTCCAATACAAACAAGGCTCATGGTAGTTTGTCTTGGGAAGAGTACATAGACTAAGAGTCTCAAAGTCCAGGGACAATTTTAAGCCGCCTTGTTCAGAATTACAAACCAAGCAGTAGAGGGGAAAAAAATACACACACACACGAATAAAACTGAAGGACACTATACAAGCTCAAAGGATTTTATTTTGTTTTAAAATATTGTCTGTTTAAAAACAATCATGATGAATCAGTCTGTAGGCTATATTTAGTCCCAGTCAACCTTGTGAATGTTTAAAGAAACATCTAAGTGCAGCACTTCAATATATACAAAGGAGGAAGTGAGCCTGAAGATTTTTAATAGCATTTTAAGGCCTGAAAAGTTATTCAGAAGAGGGCAAAGTTAACTCTGCAAMTAAGTATGTAGTTACCAGGCAGACTGATTGAAAAGGGTGATTTTGACTAGATCTGACCAGCAGACTGCCAAAACAAGATAATCTAGAGCTTAAAAATAACCTCACCATATTCACCTCCACCTAGCACTTCCCATGCTTCAGTTTCTACCATATATCACACTTTCCAGTAGTGTTTGGTCCCCTTTCTACAGATTCAAGCCATCAGTGCAAGYACCTTGAATACTTACAGAGAACAAGGGTCCTCTTCAGTGAGATCAGACAGAAAAACATTAGCAAAGTGGATGAAGAGTGCACCTATTGCTTGCTTGGAGGTGTCATAAAACCTGAGGTTAAAGGTTAAAAGAGGCAATAAAATTGGTACTAGAATATCATCATCAGCCACCCAAATAAAGTCCCCAAACCGATACACTTTCCTACAAGATATTCATGATTCTCAAAAGTCATGCATGGTGAAAAGTGATAGTTTGGCAGATCCAAGTAGTTTTGAGAAGGAAACAAACATACACTTCAGCACTTTAGGAAGTCTCAGATGCAGATTTGCAAGACTAAGGGTTTTGAGTTGTTTAGGAGACAGGCCAGATGAGGCTATGAGGCTCTCCAGCAGATTGGAGAGGACCATAACCCTGAAGTCCAGGTCACCTGCAGCAAGACAAGCCTGAGGAAACTAGACAGGACTTTTTACTTCTAGGGATTACYAGCTAAGTTTCCTTGGGAAGAGACAAAACAGTTTAATAACTCAACATGGAATATTTAGAGAGCTGTGATATCCAAGAAAACAAAAATACTGATGAATGTATTTAAGATCCAAATTAAAAATCTTACCATATCCTCCATGGACGTCTCTCTTCCTTTGGCTCCTTAAATCGTTTTACTATGGGAAAAATAGAGAGGTTAGGTTAACCAGCAGACCCAAGACACAGAAGACAGGTCTGTGCTGATTTCCAGCACAGWAGTAGTCAAATTTTGAGGACCCTCAGTACTTATCAGTCTAAGCTTAAACAGAACCAAAGCACCTGGCTTCAAATTAAGCAAAGAATGGCACCCATTAAGTCAAAAAGCCAAATGAGAGCAATTTTTTGAGGTAGGCACATACTTCTCACCTTCAACAGCCCATCATTTTACACTGCTGAAAGTGGCCCTTAAGTGTCCTCATCCAAGTAAGTCTTCCAGTACTGGATTGGCTATCACAGTTACTGCTCTGGGCTTTTTCCAGTTACTAACTGGAGACAGGAATGTTTTGTTTGTTTGTGTGCTCAGTTCTGGTCATGAGCATTGCAAAATGTTTCCACAGATCCAGTTAACTTGTCCTAGAGAAATGACAGAGCATCCATGCTTTACCTATATTCAAACAGCTTTTACTTGCTGTGATTTGCACATATAAAAGTACAAATTGCCACATCACATGCAAAAGTCAACTTGGATGGCTTAAATATCAATTTATCTTAGATCCCATTTTAGAAAGTACTAAACTCCCTTCCTTTAAAGCCTGCGGGTGCTCTGGAACAAACTGCCCTAGAAGAGGCATTTCAGCCACACTGAACTGACAGATATTTAAGAAACAAAAATGGCTTTGGGGGGCACTGTGTGGTTCTGTGGATGTTAACAGCTGCATCTAGAGCTAGATGCTGCATTCACTGCCACTCTTTCAGTGATGATGCCTCCAAGCTTCAGGCAGAAACAGAGGGTTCATGCACCAGAGCTTGTTTCAGCTGCTGCAGCAACTCATCTCCTCAAAGGCAAAATGAACTCAAGATGCACAGCAGATTAAATCCAGCAGTCAGTTCAACATGTCAGCTTGAACAGGATTCRGAGTCAAAATAATGAGCTGTGATATTTTTTGGAGATGAGAACTGCGCTAAAAATACTGAATTAATGGAAAAAGTTAATTCAGTGCATTCTCTATTCCAAGCAGTCTGACCCAGGACATGGGCAGATAAACTATTCGGTGGTGCCATCTAGTGGAAATAGGAGCCTAAAAGCATCTAGACACATCAGTATGACTGTACGTGCAATGTACAATTTTGCTAGAGCATAAACCCTTGGGATGGTGTCTGTAAGTGGTGGTTGCCAAATCCTGCTAAATCTACCAGGAACACCCAATAAAGTTACCAGGCAGATCATCTGGGATGAGTACAGCAAATGTAAGCAGATTATTCCTGCAAACACCAAAAAATGGATGATCAGCTAATCTATRCCACTAAGTGATCATTTTTGGAGCGCAATGGTTTGCCTCTAAAAAGCTACCAGAAGACAGAGCAGATATGCACCATCCTGCTAGTCTGTCATCTTCAAAATCATCATTTCACCTACACATATTCAGTCTTTATAGACAGAAAAATGACTTTTCCTCAGTGCTGACAGTTATTGGCACGTGGAGACACTTCCCAGGGCTCCACAGCAATAGGAAGGCAGTATGTCATGGATGAGAGCAGAGCCATCAGAGTCACATGGGTCTACCCACTCTTCAGTGGGGCAAGGAGATACCATTTTAAGCATGAGTTTCCTTGCACCCCTTGGGAAGAAAGGAGCACATGTAATCCCTCTGGTCCACCTTAAATCACCTACAGTGATCTTAAACAATTAACACTTAACAATTAACCTATTCTCTCTGCTTCCCTATATACACTTCACCCATCAGTCAGTCTTTCAGGAAATYAAATCAGAGAAGTTAACAGCTTCTGTCCACATAGATGGTTTCCTGTTAGAATCAGAAACTAGCCCAGGCCCACCACAGTAGCCAGTACCATGGACATCCCCCCCCAAAAAAAAACACACATTTTTGAAAGATGAGGACTCAGCTTGGAGCCACATCACTGGCAGGCCTTTCAGCCCCACAGAGAAAACCTTGAAAGCACAAGTTGTGCAGGTTCCACGTGCACAAAGTCAAACAGACCTTCAGTGTCCCAAAACACTTCTCCCCACCAGGGTACAAGCATTTCCTCCCCTCACTCTTCATAGGGAAGGTGGCACTGTGCATCTTTAGAAGCCCTGTTGTCTTTCTGTTCTGGAAAAAAAATCCCAGTTGTATGAGAGAATATACTTGACATCACTACAAAAGTCTTAACTGATGGAGAGCAAAAAAGGATTTTTTTCAGCACCAATTCCTAAGAGGCAATTTGAATTTCACTCAGAGACAAAAAACTTATGGACTAAGAGCTGCTCAGAAGTATCTAAACTGAACCCAGACTTGTCCAGTTCACAAAGCAGAGAGCGCTGTGCTGAAAGAACTGCAGGCAGCTGACCATTAGTCCCACTGCAAGAGCATCAGTGATGATTTTCATTGTTTTCTTAATGAAAAGTGACAGATTATGTACCCACAGCCACTCAGGCTAGAAATACAGTAATTCAGTGTGATAAGATGACAAGTCAGAGGTAAGAAGTTAATGGTGTGGTGCCTTGTTGAACATAGCTTGTCATGCCTCATTAGATTTAAGAGAGTTATCTGAGACTGCGTAATTATCAAAGACAGTAAAACTGTTGTATTAAAGATAAAAGCTAGTATTATAGAGAAATAATTAACTGCTTAATAGGGCATTTACTGTGTGGAGTTGAAGCAGGCTGTCTCCGAATTAAACAAGAAAGCCAGCCAAGATTACTGGAGCTTAAATGGGCAGTAGAGTAGTTCAGTAGCCATGACCCAGAGGTTACCGGGTGATGCTAAATCCACATAAAAATGGCTCCAGGTCTTTGAAAGCTCAAGGAGCTGATAAAAACCTTCTTTGAAGGGCACTACTTCTTTTGTGCCTTGGGAACACAGCAGGGCTCTGGTAACAGCCATCTGAACAGCAACTGGAAAATGCCCCCCTCTTTTCTAGCCCACACAGAAATACAAGCCATGAGGTTCACAGCTACCTGGGGGCTGCATAGACACATACTCATTAGTCAGTATCAATAAAAGGCTAAACACCCTTTTTGCTCTTCTTATAACATACACCACATTTTTCTATCAGCTGTGGGCACGGGTTGTTGTTACTGTTGTTCAGATGGACAAGTTCAGTCTTAATATTTTAAGAAAATCTTTGCATTCTTATGCATGAAGCAAGCACATAAGAAACACGACCACAGTTTACTACTACTTCCTTGCTCTAATCACAGCAGGGTAGTGAGGGAACCACTCATTTCATCAGATTAAGAGAGAGACTCAGTTATATTTTAACTCTGCTTCCCCTTKCAACTCTGCCCACATATAAACCAAGCCTGATGCAGCCAGTAGCATTTTGTACATTCTACAGCAAAGCAATACTCTCAAACTACCAGTTACCATCTGGACCACATCATGGGCCAGGAAGGTACAGGTGCCCAGGCTGCAGCAAGTATTTACTTCCTATAGTCACATGCTAGTCACCTCTTCAGTTTGTTAATCTTTGAGTTGTAGCCTCAATCTCATCTGGTATCTCCCTACAACATCAATAAATGGACAACTAGCTCGAGTAACATCTGAAAGTAAAATTCACATGAAGGTAGAAAGATTTTTAAGGAGGGAGCCAACGGAAAGGAAACACTAGCTAGTGTTGACTAGCTGACTCCAAGTCAACTCTGGAACAATTATTACTAAGCAATATTTAAAGCAAGGAAGATTGAGAGGTCAGCCTCAATTCACTTTTCTACCAGCTGCATAAAGTCTGGATGTTTGCAGCATGTTTAAGGCAAGTCTCAGCTTCCTTTGTCTCATGGAAATCAGATTCTTTGGCAGCTTTTATTTAGTATCAGCTCATCGACAAGTTTTGATAAGTTACCCAAAGGCAGCAGTTAAGAGCATAAGCATCCACATTTTCTTTGGACTTACTGGGGTTGGATGTCAGCTTAAAACTCTTTACTGAGCCTTGGAAGRTATGGAATCACATCAGAGATATGTGCATAAGAGCCTATCCTCTAGTTTTGAGACAGGGAAGCATGCCAGCAACTCTACAGGACTAATGCAGTGACCAAGTAGAACATAGCCTGGCAACCATGTTGATAGCAAAGGAAATATTGACTATATAAAGGCAAGCAGAAGTCAATGAAGAGATACTTCAAGAGTAGCACAAGCCCTGAACAAACAGCTTTAGTTCTTAAGCACAGGAAAAAAAAAAAAAAATCTTTGGACTGACTCTTCTAGGATCTTTAACATTTGCATTTAGAAAAACATTTCCAGTGGACTTCCTGAAAAACTAATCTTAATACAGCAATATAAAGAAAGCAAAATCCAAAGACACTAAATCTTTCCTCTTTTCTTAGGTCTGCCTAAGTCTTCAACTATTGGGATGTCCATAACATAAGGCCAGTGAATTGGAGAAGTGTGAATTTAAAACTACTCTATTATCCTCCTTGTTAGGCTTTGTTAATTGATTCTATGTTCCAATGTGCTGCTGTACCTCACTAAATACTCACTGTCCAGTCTTAGTGCTTATGCTCATGTTCACCCTTCAGAAGCTCAAACAGGGCTTAAAGTAATGGAGACAGACTAATTAACAGTAACTGCAGGTGGGGAGAGGTCTTGAAAACTGCYTAAGGGCAAAGAAACTTCAATAAGCACCAAGGCCTCGAATTATCAATGCTAGCATGAAAAGAAGCACCTGTTGAAGCTTCAGAAGATGCTGTAAGCACAAAGAAGTCAAGCATGAAGGTTCTTTAAGCACTACTGCTACATCCATGTGCAGTCATATAACTTTAAAGCCTGAGTAAAGCAAGAGGCTCATGATCTCCCATTCTTGAAATATGTTTTCACATCCACTGCATTTCATGCTTGTAATATTGATGGTCTGCAGAGTTGTACTTTTTAATCATGAAGCAGCGGTACCTAGTGTTCCAAGAGCAGCAAACTGAGTTGCATCAAGTGAGCTTCCCCTTTCATGGCAAAGACAAACCAAATGGCACGTACTTCTAAAGCAA